TCCTCCTCCTTCTCCTCAATAACTTCCTCCATTTCCTGTTCCTCGTCGTGCACCTCAGTAACCTCCTCTGCATCCTCTGATTCTCCATCTTTATCTTCCTCCTCCTCCACTTCCTTATTTATACCCTCTGCTTCTTCCCCTTCATCTGTCTCCTCCATATTTTCATTCGGTTCTTCCTCCTCTTCTTCTTTCTCCTTACTAATCTCACCCACTTGCTTCTCCTCTTCCTCACTGTTGTCTTCCTCCCCTGTCTCTTCATCGCCCTCTCTCTCGTCTGTTTCCTCGACACTATCGTCCTCTCTTGCTCCCTCATCTGCTGATCCCTCCTCTGTGTCCTCACCCACTTCCTTCTCCCCTTCCTCTAATCCCTCCTCCGCCTCATCTTCATCCATTGCTATCTCTTCCTCTGCCCCTTCCTCTACTTTCTCAACAGATTCCTCGCCACTTCCTTCCTCTGCTTCCTGTTCGTCCAGCTCCTCGTCTGCCTCATCCTCTCTTTCACTGTCTTCTCTCTTATTCCCTTCGTCCTCACTGTCCAACACTTCAGCGTTTTTCACCTCCTCTACTTGCTCCTCTTTCTCATTCTCTTCTACATCATTTTGTTTGACTACTGATGTCTCGTCTCTTTCTGTCTGTGACTCCTGAGCTTCATCAGCTTCTTGGTCTGACTCTTGTATTATCTTGTCTTCTAAGTAGTCCGTCTCTGCCTCATTGTTGCCCTGTTGTGTCTCAGTAACGTCCTCAGCCATGCGTGTGCTATCAGGCTCTGCTGATTGTTTGGTTTCATCTCCTTTGACAAACTGCTCCACGTCCTCCTCGGACTCTGACTGGCGTCTGTCAGTTTCCCACAGCGAGCTCTCCTCTACAGGGTAGAAACTTTTCACCTGTTGGATAGTTGAAGCGATCTCTGCTCTGAGGTCTTGCGGCATATTCAGTTCGTCCATCAGCTCGTCGATGCGCTCATCAAAGACATCTCCGCCTTCAGAGACGACGTCCAGTGCGAACTCTGTTTCTGAAACTCTGGGAGAAAGCGGCTCACTTTCAAACCTTTCTCTCAGAATCTGGAAATCCTTCCAGCGCTCTCTGAGCTGAGAAGATGCTCGGCTTTGTAGATCGGTCAGACTCGCCCTCTGCTCCTCCTCGTCCCCGATGGCAGAGATTTTCTGCAGGGACTCCATCATCAGCATGGCCTCGGAGGTGGTCCTGGATTGGCTGCCTTCTCCTGATGCTGGGCTGTTTAGGTTGTCTCTCAGAGTCATGACCGACAAAAACGACATGAAGGCTTTACACGATGAGCCGAACACGGAGGCGACTTGTGTTGGGAAATCAGGAACGCTGTTGGATTTCTCAAGGTTGGATGTGGTGGTGACGTCTGACGCTCTTCTAATGCACTGAATTGACGAACAAAGCTGCCGCAGAACGGGTCTGATCTTTGCTTTGGGGCTCAAAATGTTGGACGAAGATGCTTCGCCGTCAGCCGTGCCAATGGCTTCTACGGATCTGTGGGGCCTCAGGTTGCTCTCCTGGTGTGCAGGATCGACCCTGACGCTCGGCATGGAAACACATAAGCCTCGTGCTTTCTGTTCGCTGTGCAGCAGAGCTGGGCCTTCATGGCAAAGAGGAACTGACAGACAGGAAGCTGATTTCTTGATTGCATCACTGGTTGATGGATAATACTCGTCTAAAGTAGCCTGGCATTCAGTCTTGTCATCTGATTCAGAGTCACCTCCGATCTGAAACACAACGTTGGGCCGACGCTCTGTTCCATCTGGGATCATCTCCTCCATGTAGGGCCCTGCGTCTGGGGTGACGTTCTCCAGCCAGTCCTCAACGTATTGGTGGATTTCGGAGGGTGAAGGATTGATGGAAGGCATTGACACGCTCTCACTTAGCTCTAGGGGCTTTCTGGGTGGTGAGATTCTGTTTTCGATCACTGATTTTGGCTTGCTGATGGTCTTCTTAGCTGGCAAAGAAGGTTTTTTAGCCTGTAAAATGTCTGACATGTTCTTTTTCATTTGAGGCCTTCCCGTTGAAATATTGAGGTTACTGCCATTATCCTTAGCAGCTGCTTTATTCAGGTGTGGTCGTTTAGGTGGGGTTCTTTTTACCTTTTCTGAGCTACCTAATAAGGCCGAGTCTTTCCTGGACAGCTTTTCATCTTTAGTTGATGCCTTCGACTGAGGCGTGTCTGCTTTCTTGGATGCTCCTTTACTCTTTTGGCCACTTTTAGCACTGTCTGATGAATTCAAACTCTTTTTCCGCACGCTGGCGTTGCTGCTCAGCTTGTCAGTAGATGAATGTTTGCTATTTTTCGAGCGTTCCTTTGCTTTTTTATCTGTGCTGCTCGTTGAAGTCGGACTTCTCTGATTGCTAGCGGGCCTAATTATCTTTTTCTTCTGCGTGCTTTTGGAAGTGTTGTCTTTTTTCCGTGAATCGCTCTGAGTCACTGAAGACAGATTGTTTGTAATCTCCTGTCTGGGAGACGCTGGCTCTGATGACAGCGATAACATCTCCTCTTTCTGCCTTCGTAGTGAGTCAGCGCTGGGTGGCTGCCAGCTACAATCTATATCACAATCGTTGCAAGAAGGCGAACGAGGCCCGGCGACGGTGGACGGCTTGCTTTCTGGCCCCAGAGCGGAGCCATGTGAAGGAATGTCGTCTGCACTATATTCCTCATTTGCAAAGTAGTTGTCATAGCAACCCTGACTCTCATAAATATGCATGACAGTCTCTGTGACCTCCATGCCATTGTTCTCTATCTGAAGGACCTCAGCGACTCCCGACGACCTGATGGAGGAGTTTGAGTATTTGTTCCTCCCTCCTGCGGACGCGGTTTTCCGAGGTTTCGGGATCGGTCGGTTGCTGCTGCTGCTGCTGTGTCTCACGACGCAGTATCCCTCCGTCGTCTCCCCGTCGACGGTCCTCTCCACGTAGGAGTAACGTCCCAGGGTGCTCTCCTGAACCCCCGACTCCGTCACCATCGTCACGCTCTCCACGGATGCCGTCTTGTTAACGTGTCGAGGTCCTGGCGTAGGAGCGCGTTTGAAACCTTTTTTCGCTTTTCCCAGCGCCGCTGAAGTGTAGCCTTCGTATATTTGCTCATCGTGAAAGCCGACGCCCTTTCCAGCCCCAGCAGGATAGTTCTCCTCTTTCGTTTCGTCCCCGCTGATGCTCGGGGAGGCTTTGGCAACGGCGTTGTTTGAGTCGGGGGAGCTGTCGCCTGACTCAGGGATGGAGGCACAAACCGTCCTCTTGGTAAGGCTGGAGCGGCTGAGCGTGGTCGTCCAGTGGAGCAGCTCTTCCTCCTTAATGGTCAGACGAACTTTCATCTCCACTGTCATGCTGCCGTCTTGATTCACACGGAAGGACTTTTCGATGTCGTCATCCTGAGGTACGATGCAGCTGCCGTGCTCGTTGTCTCCCCTCCCGGACGTCCCGATCTGACGCTGGTGAACTTCTGCTTCAAACGACCCGCGGTGGTGATGCAGGCGGCCGGCCACGCCTCCGCTTTGGGACTTGTTTATCTGGTTCACAATGTATCGCTCAGACGACAGGGAGAAGTTCCTCGAGCCTCTTCCACTTGAGAAAGATTTGTTGTTTTCTTTTGTTGAAGGCGATTAATGAAGGAGAGAGAGAGAGAGAGAGAGAGAGAGAGAGAAATTATTTAAGCATCATGCAGCATTTGTACCACTACTTAAAGAAATAGTCCAACATTGTAGGAAACACGTTTATTTGCTTTCAGGTTGATG